AAATAAATAAAAAACAATTTTATTGAGAAACAAATAGCAATGACTCTGTTTCAAAACTGATTACTAGCACATTTTCAATAATTAATACATTGCATATTGTTCTTAGTGGTTATTCATTGTACAAGATGCAGACATGATGTCCTGTCCACAGACACTATTAGAACAAATCTTTCTACTCATTGAATTAAGAGAATGCAGATTTATATCTATTCTAACTATTTTGAGTATACAGATACAAAATGATCATTCATTTGTATCCCCCTTTTTTAGTTAGCTTTGTCAGAGAAAGGCATTCCATTGTCATTTAAATACTATAGGTGCATGAATTCAGCAAAATAATCCAATATAGTCCAGTAGTCCATAATAGTAGTGGGTTTTCCGAAGACTGGCAATGTCAGAAGTTGTTGACTTGGGCCTTTGACAGCTCAGCATATTAATATGGCTTTACTTTTTATACTTCATTTTTATACTTTTCTGCTGGATGGTTAAGACCATGATTAAGCAAGACCTCTATATCAAGAAATGTAACTTTCGTATCTGATAAGGTCAGTCAAATCCCCTCAGGATTTATACTGAAACCTTGTACCACAGTTTGCAGATCCTTTGTCAGGGTCATCTGTGTGGATGAGTCACTGCCATTGCCTGACCAATTTGATCTCTGTGAAAGCCTGAGAGAATGTTTTCTCTCCATGTGACTCTCCTTAGGCACACTCTACATCATTGATCACATTCCTTTTCTTTTCATGACATACCAATTACTTCCATACTGTCCCTCAAGTAAATGTTTGTTTAAAAAAAAAGGGGGGGTTAATAAATGAAAACAAGAGACAAGAAAAAAGTATCACAGGAGTGTCCTGCTACAAGGCTGTATGTGGTTAGATTTCTAAACTTCCGTGTAAAAATATGTTACTGTTCATTTCTATTTTTAAAAAATATATTTTACTTTTTTAATTTTTTTCTTCATATTCTAGAGGGACTTAAAATTTAACATATCAACACTTGATGGAAAATACCTGTTTTGTGTTAGGCCTAAGATGTTTGATATCGGGACAGATAGTAAGCTTAAGCTCAACTGCCTGTGTTATAGGGTAATAATAATAAGCCTCTCTTCTGGAGGGTTAACAACCTAAGTTTATAAACCAAAACTTAGAGAAAAAGAAGGGCTGAAAGGACAGCCCACATTTTGGCCCTAGCCTTTCAAGGTCAGTGAGGACTCAGGTCATAGGAGAACCTGTACTGTAACATCCTGAAACTCAGTGGTGTCCCAAATTTTCTGGTCAAGGAGATACACTTAATTGTAACCCATTTTTCTCTCTGCTGAAAGACATTGGGAAAGAAAAAAGAACAGTTTAAAGGTCTAAAAACATTCCATTTGGGAGAAATCCTAGGAACATCAGTGAGTCCTGCCCACATTCTTTTAAAAAGAAGGAGAAATAGGAAGATACAGGAAAACAATGAAATAATTTGAAGTGATGAATGGAATGTGACCAGAAAAAAGAGTGTTACTTACAGAAGTTTTAAAGGAGGGAGAGAAAAAGCTGTGAACCTGAGATATTTTCTCAATAGTCCCATAAGGAGGAGGCAAAGTCCTATTGCTGATTGAAGGTGGCCGAGTAGGTTAACATAGATGGACATGGAAGAAAATAGCCAGTTGTATAATTTGAAAATACAGCTCAAGGGAAGGACTTGACACTAAAACAGATTTTTAAAAATCATACCTCCAAGTATCACAAATCTTAAGAATCTTAAGCTCTGAAGAGAGCTACTTCCCAGTTCCCAGGGCTAAGTATATTTCAACTAGGATCCCCCGTGTACTGCTCAAATAGTTATTTCACTGAATATTTGAGTTTTCAGCCATTTAAGGCTTTTTCTCCCTATGACTGCTCTTTAAATTGTAAAAAAGAGCCAACTCAAGACGAATTATGTCTGCTGCACACTAAACCGTTTCCTTAAAATATGGCATATATATTCTGCCCCTTCCATCTGAAAAAAATAATCTCTAGGTTTTCAAGTGTTTTTATCTGTGTGGTAAATCAGATACCTGTGAGAGTCAGGCATGGTTTATTGCCACACTTTATTCATAAAACAAGCATATTTGTATTCATTTCAATGACAGAAAAAGAAATGCATGAATAACTCACCTGTGATGGATACTTCTAATGTGGTATAATGTATCCAGCTGACCGTAATTAATTTGGCCAGACAATTTCAAAGCTGCAAAAGAAATCAATTAAAATGTGAGTAATTTTTTTGTAATCTTATTAACCAACTGTGTAAATAGAGTTTAATTACAAACATTCATCATTGCAAAAGAATTCTGCGACTGTAGAAGTGAGGTATTACAGTCTTTTGTTTGGTACACAAGCCGAACTGAATAGGAGAATGAAAAGGGGGAAAGAATTTCATTTATTCATTGATGTTAAATCTGGCCCGGTAACTTTTAATTGTAAATAGGAAGCTTTATGCATCATACAGTGTCATTTGTCTAAAAATAAGTCTTTCACAATTCTTTTCTAATAACCAGAATGTGAACTGTTTCCAGAGCTTTACCACCCA